TTCTGGCTTTGTTTTGAATATACTTACGAAAATCAAGAAAAGCTGATTTTCGAAAGCCTGCAGTGTTCTTGACTATGCTAAACTTCTCTGGCCTAGCATGAAGGAACTGGACCTGGGATGTGAGACATGAAAGTTCAAACTCCATGCTCCAGCTGCTTTGAACTCATTTTGAAATGATGTGCCTGATGCACAGAGTAGAAGAGCTATAGGTATTTTCTGCAGGCTGTGCTGAGTAAGCGACTGTAACCGAACTAGGGATAGCCTCTTCCCAAATAAATTCCCTAATTATCAAATTTGAAGATCATCATTTTCTTAGCTGTTCATAGATTTTAGAAATGTTACAACTCAATTAGAAAAACCAGAATAAAAAAATACTTTCACCTTCTGTAATAATTTTGTGACTCCTACTTTCCTTTGCTTTTCTTGTAAGGAAATGAAACGACATGTTTTGTTTTTGTTGAATGAAGCAGAATACTTCATTTGATACTAGATGCTATTGAGATGCAGTTCAAAAGAAAATAAATCAATTTAATTTCAATCATTCAAACCAGAAAAAATATTGTATTGCTGAGTTTTTTACAGAGGCAGCTGATAGTTTAAACTTTTTAGTCTTAGTTCTTTGCTATTTCCTCCATTGTTGAAGCAGAAAGTATTTCTTTAAAGAAAACTTTTACCAGTATACTTGTCTTAGAAACTTTGGAATGTGGATACACTACAAAAGTCATTATTATTCAGGTAAACTGGCATTTGTCCCTGTATATTTCTTCTTATTGTTTGAGATACGGATACCAAATTATGATGTGTGCTGCGGGTGTAAGTGAAGTAATATAAATGATGTTGATTGTAGCAGTTATAATGAGAAAAGTAAAGAGTAATTGTTAACTTTTGCAGTTAATACAAAAACAATTTCATGTAATAGTAAGCACTTTTAAAAAATATTTTTGGACAAAGCATTAATACTCCTACCTGAAAATTTGATGTATGTTATTGCCGTGATGGCTGAGAAATTATTTACCGTGATTATGTACCAGGCTATGGGCAGCCTGGTCTGGTAGTTGGCGACCCTGCCCATGGCATGGTGGTTGAAACAAGATGATCTTTGAGGTCCTTTCCAACCCAGACCATTCTATGATTCTATGATTAATTCATCTTCCTAACAGAACCCCATTTTGTGGATCAGTGAATTTCTTTTTTAAAATAAAATAAACATTCGCTGATCACATGTGCATAAAACTTTTTTGTCTGCTGATAAGCTGTCTAACGAGAATACTAATCCAGTGCAAATGTTGACATGGCAGCATTGAAACAGATGGTTAGGCAGTCAGTAAAAAGGAGGTAATCATTAGAAATGCATAGACGAGTTGGTTCATCACTTTTACTAGAGATATAAACATCACTTTTCTAAGCATCTACCCTCAACCAGAATTCTCAACTTCAGCCAAAATTTGAGAATCTTTTTCTAAAGCCACAGTAAACAGTGTGGGTGTGCATTTGCAGAGCGAATTCACATTCAGAGATAAATAAGTAAGACAAATTGAACTCTGATAAAGTAAGTCCACAATTGGTGTGTAACCTATGTGCATTCATTGGACGTTATGGAGCATCCCTTCTGACACATATAACAGTAGTCCTAAATTTTTCAATAACAAAGAAATTAAGAGTCCCCAGGTATGGTTTGCACTTGTTACAGAAACTTACAGAAACATCGCACACACTCTAGTAATAGAACAGAATTTCATAAATGGGATGGCTCTAACACTGCAAGTTATGATAACAAAAAGGGAAGTTAAAGTAATAACCAGAAGTTACATAGTAGGTTCACAATAGAAATTTTAAGCAGTTCTATCCACTTCTATCAGCAGCAATGCAACTCTATCCAAGCTGCCTGAATGTCAAGAGAAAAAAATGCTCCATAAATGAGAGAGAAGCTGCACTTACTAAAAATATTTGCAAATATTTAAAAATATTTACTACAGAATAACGATGTGCCTCCAGAGAAATGTGTTTAATTTGTGTTAGAACTTTTAGAGTATGAGACATCTCTTTCCTCCTTCCTTATTTTTGTAGGAAAGGTGACAATTTAGAATTCTTTTTGAACTCTGGTTCTTACACATGAAGAGGTGAAAGTAATAGTGTTGGTACTTAGGATGTCTCAGGCATTTGTCATCTTTTTCATTTGGGGTCTTTAAAGGGCTAAGAAGGAGTTGGCAGGAAATAGTTTTACAAGCACAGAACAGTTTATATTTCTGTCTAAATTTTGCTGTTCTTCTAAGGTAGAATGAACTTAAGAGTAATTAGAAAAAATGTGGTCTGTTTTTCCTTGTTCAGTCAGTATAGTGCACTTACTCTGTTCTAGTGTACAGTTTATGTATTTTGGGGAGTTGTATGATATCCATCAACACTTCTAGGCACTCTATGCAATTTGTCCACCATTAATAATATGTTTCATGTAATAAGCATACAATAATTCAATGTTCATGTCTTCAAAAAAATTATTTTTCATTACTCTTAAAATAATTTGGAAAACAGTGTGGCTCATGACATGTTAGAAAATACCTTCATTGCCTTTAGACTAGGGAAACTGATTGTAAATTCAACCGCTCCTTAGGAAAAGTCCAACTTCAGCCTTTTCCAAGGGCACCAGCACACCTGCTGATTAAAACTGGAGGAGGTTTATAGTAGGAAAGTCACGTTGCCTTCCAGCAGGCATGTCCCGGCAGATGCTGCAGTTTATTGCTGGGTTGATGGAGCTACGGGTGCCTGGATTGGCAGGTGCCCAGTTTGCCCCACTGCTGTATCAGCAAGAAATGCTCGTGCTGACGGCGAGAGTTGCCGCATGTTGGTTCGTATCACAGCTCTGCCTGTTCCTCCAAGGGAGTCAGCATCCTGCGTCACTTTGCTATGCCATAGCCTGCCTTGATAAGTGTTTGTGGTGTTCATATACTTTCTGTTGCTGCAATATCCAACAGCACTTTAGCTATGCTAAAAAGAGCTAATGAAGTTGAGTTGCCTAGATAAGAACAGTATAAAATATTCTCTTGAGCGAAAGAGAGTATCTCCTGCTCAGTAACCTGTGAGACACAGAGTTCTTCAGCAAGAACTTCAGCAATGAGCCTTCTTTGCAAGCATGGCCATAAAATTCCAACTCCTCCAGCCATTCAACAATAGGATGTTTTGAAAGCAAAATAGATGCTGCTGCAAATCTCCCAATTACAGATTGATATTGCAGCAGGCTGATGCAGCACTGTGACCGATAAAATCACAAAGCAGTTAAGATCTATGGAAAATTTTCTGCTGGATTAACCTTTATACCAGTAAATTCTGTGCCAGGTTCAGCATCAGGTTTATTCTAGCTTCCTTTTGAAACATACAGGCAATGTGGAAAAAAAATCCAAAAAACAGAAAACAACAACAAAAAAAACCACAAATCAAACCCACAGATTTGGCATACACTCTTTATTATCTGCTTCTAGCTAATTTGACAGATGTGCTATCATTTCTATTTACCATTTTGGGGAAAAAAGCCCATGTACTTTTAGTAAGCTCCAGGAAATGCTGTGCTCTGGCAGTGATGAACACAGAACCATGTTCTCAAAGGTTGTATTAATGCATAGGCTTTAGCCACTGTGATATGAGGCTTGTTTGTACTTGAAATGTCTGCTTGTTGAGTTCTTCTGTGGGTGCAGAAAGTGCTTATGCACCTGGGCATACATTTTTCCCATCATTCTCTCTTAGCCCCACCTGTTGAGGTAGCATATACCAATATCAATCCAAGCCAAATCCACACTGGTGAACCCACTATCAATCTGTTAAAAATGCACAGGGTATTTCATGACGTGTATATTGTAAAGCTCATTATCAGCTATGAAGATGTAAATATTAAAGTATTCCTTTACCTGTTTCTAAAAGCTGCATATAATCACACAAAAGATGAACTTTATAAGAGCTACCGCTTTTACAAGATCAGTACTGAACTATCCGTGCGAACATTTTCATTTTGAAATCACGCCCTCCATGGTGCCCTAATAGTACTGTTGTGCCCATAGATGTATTTCAGATGGGTGAGAAAAAATTGTTAAAAAGGTTAGATTGCTGTTCTTTTCCCTAGTCTTTTGTACTGTAGTTTTCGCTTATTCTGTTTTGTTTTAATACTGTTTTATGTTGGTTCTGTTTCTTTCCCCTGCATTAGCTGCTGGGCTAGCTGCCTCTCTTTCTGTCACCTAATCATTATTTTTACAAAGGTTTTACAGTATCCTTTTGCTTCACAGTTTTGTGTAACACAGTACAGCTAAAGGGCTGTATGTACTTTGTACACTGTGTACTTACTTAGTACTTTGTTCTAGGAGAGACTGAGTATGCCTGTCGCCCTTTCAGCTGCTAAGGGAGACTACGATCACAGAATGAAGCAGATAGGAGCTCTCTTCCTGAGCCACGAGGGTTTAAGCAACTAGAGTTATCAAAGGATCTCCTCAAATCTTTCTTCTGAAGGGGAATCTCTGGTACTGCAAGAATGGCAAAAATCTCAGTGGTATAATTTAATTCTGAAATGTTAGTTTACAAGTCAGGCTAAAGTTCAGAGCTGGGGAAGGCACACTGATTTCCTTTTAACAATTCTTTTTTCTGAGATAAATACAGGGTGAAAGTATCCAAACACAAAGCCGAACACAAAAATGAAGCAATCTCACTTCAGTGTGAAATTCAGAAATGTGATTTTTTTTGTCCATGTACAGTGTTCATGTGTACATGTTCAGTGAATGTTGTCCATACAGGCTTTGCAGCTGTAGTCTGTGAGTTTATACCAGCATTTAAGGAATGTGGTGCTAAGTAAGAGCTTAAGGAAGGAGATGGGTAGCACTCTGTCATAGGTACTGTTCCCTTTGATGGCTTGGAAATCTGTGATAAATCTCTGATTAGAAGGGGAAGAGATGGCTTTTAACCTCATCAGCTTGATTTTGCCACCAGCATTGGAATACTCAATATGCTGATTTTCCCCTGTTCAGGTACCTAAGCCAAGCTGGGCTGGAAGAGACAATGCTAACAGCTAACCCTCAAAACAGGGAGAAATTAACAGTTCTGAAAGAAGCTCTTAGTGCTATGGGATTCAATAGCCTGGTGAGTTACACAAGTTTATGTTATTTGCAAATAAAATGGCAGCATTACTTCATGAAAGCAAGTCATGAAGAACTCTCACCAATAACCATTTGTGGAGAAAAGAAGCCTCTTTTTGTCTATTGCTTTTTTTTCTTTTTTTTCTTTTTTTCTTTTTTTTCTTTTTTCCTACTGGTAAAGACCTTGAAAGAATACAAAATACTACTTCACCCCAGGGAAATTACTGTAATCACTTTTAATTAGACACTGCACCAACAATGTAAATCTCTTTCATTCTTAAAGATTCGCAAAACAGCTTCAAGGTATAATATTCTGAACAATTAAATTACATAGATAAAAAGAAACAATCAAATCCCATATGACAGAAACCTTATAAAACCCACAGAAATTTTCCCCCTTCCCACTTATCTTACTGTCCCTTTTAATTTTGTGAAACACACATTCCAAAGGCATTTACTAGCAACATCAGAAGTAAATACATATTAAGTGAAATAAAATTAGGGCAGGGTACATTGAAAAAGCTAACTTAATGCCAAGAAAACAACAAGAAAATAGGTTTGATGTTTGCCTTCAATCTTATTGCAATTATGAAGAAGATATTTAGAAAATTAATCAATAAAAGCTTTTGAAGCACAGTGTGAGGGGAATCACACTGAAATGTGAAGAAAAAATGGGGGGCTGATCATAAGAACTTCTATAAGCTATATATTCCCTAATTAAGGAAGTAACAAATCTTCTTTGGTAACCTATTCCACATTTTGATATAAAGAAATGTTTCAGGTTTGTTGTTAATTTTTCCCCATGAACATTCACGTGGCTATATACGAAATTGAACACATATAGCTACATTTAGCATAATTATCCTTTACTTCTAATGTCTTAAGCTCAGCACCTGGAAAATTGAACAGCAGAAGTTCCATGCTTTTCCAGAATCCCAGCGTTTAGCGCGGGGTTCATATAGGGGTGCATCTCTCCAGCTCCTTCATTAATCTTTTTGTTCCACTCAGGAAGGTGTTTCTTTAATAAATAAGTAATAGAATGCATAGCTAATCACATTTTAAAGACTGTAGAAAAACGCAGTGTTTTGAGATTGAGCTCTTGACCTTGCTGAGAATTCTGGAAGAATGTGGCATCTCAGAGAAGTATGAGTGAGCTTCAAAGCTCCTCCACATCCAAATAGCATTAAAATGATTATAGATTGGTGATCTGTGGAGTCTGAGAGTACTGCAGGCTGATCTATTCTATGGAATAACATAAATAAAATGTTTATCCTAAAAATACTACCCCTTACTTCTAAGATACATGGAGAGTTCCGTGTGTATTAGTTTTTTACTATCTGTTCACATTCAGTAATAGATCAGATGGTCTCTTTGAAGAGCTACATGAACATTTTTAAGCAGTCTTCAGTGAAACTCTGCAAAGTACCTTAATGATTATTAAACGCTTGTTTTAAATCTGAAAGAATATGTACCTTAGAATACGATGCAAAAGTCTTCAAGGGTTTAGAACCTGAACTAAATCTGAGGCCTTCCCAAAACTACAAAAAAAAAAACAACAGCTGTCTTTCCCCCTCCCCCTCCCTTACCCCTCTTCCCCCCTCCAAACACACACAAGTCAGTGTGATACAGTCATCCCCAAACCAGTTCTGAACTAACAAAGAACTGTGCTGTGTTAGTATGGCATTAGGCCTTGCCCAAGAGCAAGAAATAAGATGTATCACCCTGGCTTGAATGCCAGATTAGTATGGTGATTCATTTCTTGCAAGATGTACACTATTCATAGTTTGTCCACAAATAAGGACAACAAAGGTTTTTGTTTGTTTATTTGTTTTTTATATATCTTGGTTTTTTAACCTTCAACTTTGGAATTTTGTAATAGAGAAATAAACCCTTGCCCTGCTTCCATCTATCTCTCACAATAAGAGATTGAAGTTGTTAAAATAGTTTAAAGAATCAAAGCTGCTTAAACAGAATCAAAGGCACTTCAGTCTGTCTCCTAGAAGTGCTGTAAGCTTTTTTTATTGTCCTCTGCTTTCAGGCATTATTAGAAAATGAAACAAGAAGAAAAAGATAAGTCTTTCTTTTTTTTTTTTTTTTTTTTTTTCCCCAAACTGATGAAAAGTTATTCAAGCTTGGTTTTGTTGTGTTCAAAATTCAGTGTAGTCTCACCAGAGGGCAAAGGGGATATATTTCATCTGCAGTTTATTTTTTTAATTTTGCTCTACAAATTCCGGTAAGGCTTCTTGCTGTCACTTCTACACTTATACTGGTTCAACAGAATCAGGTTCTATAGAATATTATATTTCAAAAGTATTTCAAGTAAGAGATGTCAAATACCTTTGCTATACATAAATGACATGTAATGCTATAGTGGTTATCAAATTTCCTGTTTTATGATTTTGTAGGAGCACAGTTCTTATATAACTGACTTGAAAAAAACATCCAAGTACACACATTTTTTCATGTTTTAAGCATTTTTGCTCTTTTTTTTTTTTTTTTTTTTGGCTTGAATTTAAGAACAGACATAAACATTAGTTCTTTTCCTGGTGTAGTAAAAATGAAGGCAGGAAAAACCAAGCCCTTAAAGACATCTGTTTCACAGTGTTAGCGATATCTGAATATAGCATGCAATCATGGGTGACGAGGAAGTTGCTTCTGTTTCTTTGCAACTTTAAGCACGGCTTTTACTGCCAGGAGCCTGCTGTAATTTAAAGCAAGACATTTTGCTCAGGGATGCAGTTGGCTGAGGAAGAAACTGACCTTGCATTTCATAGATACAGAGTTTGACTTAATGAAGAATTCCCATGGAGAAGATGTGTTTCCTGCAGAAATAATGCATCCATTAAAGATAGTTCAGTATTTTTTCCATACGTTCTTGAAGAGGTTTCTTAACTCAGTAGCTGGTGTGATTTATGTTAAAGCAAAAGCTCAAAAGGTTGATCTTATCATTTTATGTCCTCAGTAGGTTCCAGTTTGATTTCTAAATCCGAATCTCCTGTTACTAGTTCTCTCATGAATACTTCTTAATTTAGTGATATATAAACTTGTGGAGTGTGTGTTTCTATAGAGCATTGCCTTTCACTGTTGTGCCCAACAGATCTCTTCTTTATCTTTAATTGTGCATGAAATATGTGCAGGAGGTGGAGAACCTGTTTGTAATCCTCTCAGCAATTCTGCATCTGGGGGACATTCGCTTTACGACCCTGACAGACACCGAGACAGCGCTGGTGTCAGACCTGCAGCTGCTGGAGCAAGGTCAGTGGGATGTGGCCTTGCAAGACCGCTGCTCGACCCTGCAGCAGGGAGCTTGCACTGAGCCACCGATAGGTGGAAACCCAGCTCCAGGGAGCCAGCATCTGCTTCTGGAAAGGCCAGTGCCCCATTGATTGGATGTTTTATAAACTGTGAATTTTTATGAGACTAAATAAAATGCTAGTGTCGTCAATTATTCAATTCAGAGTCAAATGTAATTTCCCAGAAGAAGTTGCAAGGGAGGCTTTGTGCGGCTTTCTTTTAAAACACTCATGTGGTGCTTGTCAACAGCTGAACGATTTGCACTGAGTCAAATTCCTTTCAAAATCTGTGCCTTAAGAGGGTCTCTTGGTTTCACGCTTTGAAGTTTGCCCTGTTGGTTGCTAACAAATCTCCTCAGAGTGGCTTATGGATAGAGATTGTCTGTAAGCAGCATACCTTAACTCCTGTAAGAGACAAAGTCTGCCAAGTGCTGTGGAAAGTCCCGAGTAACCTTTCAAGAGGAAAGAAAGCTGTAATGTAATATGCACACATACTCCAAACTTCACAAAGTGCTGATTATAGTCTGATTATAGCTAATCCAATTGTATATGTTTGTTAATTCTGATTACTCCCATGATAGCGCTCTTGTTTTTTAATGTATGGGTCCTTTCAATGTTCAAAAAAGAACAACAAGAAAATCTGTTATAAAAAAAAATGTAATATGCTATGGAGCTCAGGTCAGGCTTTCTTTAAACTCTCTTTTTGTTTCAGTGGCAGGGATGCTGCAAGTTTCACCGGATGAGTTTGCTTCAGCCTTAACAACTGATGTTCAGTATTTTAAAGGTAATCTTTTCCAAGATTACATTCTCATAGATCATGCTTGGTGCCATTTTGATCCTTCTGATTTGAGAATTTTAAAACTGATCATTTTTGTTTTGTATTTCTCATGCCATATTAAACTTGTCTGTTAGGAACATGCAGGATTATCTGCCATGCAGTATGTCAGACTGAATCAGAACTATCTTTATAACATGGAGCAAAGCAGTTTTGCAGTTTGATGCAGATGGACTCCTAGCTTTATAAACCTTATAAATATGACAAGGTCACAGATTTGATATTAATACTAAGAATTGAAGTCAGCAGGAGTGTTTTTTAAAAATATAAGTTTTGAAAAAGTTATTTTCAGTAAAATACTAGTTCTCTTTAATACACCTACCCTTTTCTATTGAAAAAAGTTCATTTTTCCAACCTGAAGATCTTGTGTTAACAGATTTCTTATCTTTGCTGAAGGCTTCTGAAAAACAGTAGTAGCATGTATGGGTATGGCAAAAGAGAAGTAAAAAAAGGTGGAAGGGCTTACTGTAACTAAAATTACTTAAGGCAAGTTTTACAATATGTTTTATTTCCATTTTCTGCTGTTTGTCTTAGGAGACATGATAGTACGGAGACACACTATAGAGATGGCAGAATTTTACCGGGATCTCTTGGCAAAATCTCTGTATGGTCGTTTGTTTAGCTTTCTAATCAACACAATCAACTGCTACCTCCAAAATCAAGATGAAGCTGAAAGGTAGGATTACCATGACAAACTATTAACTATGCCATTATCCGTTCAAATCCAGATCCATAATAGAAACACAGTGGTGTCATTTAACACATTTATGATAGCACTGGCGCTTGAATCTTTAAAATCACTGAAATGTTTCTCAAATGTTTCAGATAACTCCCTCTGTATTTTGTTTCTTTATTTGCTTGCTTGAGTGGACATGGTACTTTATGCAGTTATCTTCATTGGTAGGTAGAATTAGTAGTCACTTAAGAGATGACATTACAGAATGAATTAAGCCTTTCGAGAGACAGATATCTGCCCGACGTTTAGTTTCTGCAGAAGATGCTGTTTCTTTCTCTCCACAACAGTGGCCTTAGAACAGGTTATTAAAAACAGGATTTTATTGAAAGACTTCCAAGTGAACGTTTAAACTTCACTCACTGCTGAATGCACGATGCTGTCCAGTGTGGTTTCATAGAAAAAAAAAAAAAAAAAAAAAAGCAAATTATCATGCATCAATGGGGCAGTCAAAGCCCAACAGCAACAATGAAAAGAAGAAATTTCAGTGGAATCAAAGCATCAAATTAAGACAAGAGCCCTAATTAAATGGTCATATGCATGTGAATTAACAAAGATTCAACATCTCACATGTGCAGGTGAACTTTCTAATGAACATCAAATATAAGGTGTTTTGGCAGTGTTGATAAATGGAAATCCATGGAAGACAGATTTGAGACTCACAAAAAAAGGAAAAGTAATTCTTCTATATATCCCATCTGTCTTGGTTTCAGAGAATAAATAGTTATCTGTGCTCTCTTAGGGCTGTTATGATTTTGAAAACTTTATTTTATTTTATTTTATTTTATTTTATTTTATTTTATTTTATTTTATTTTATTTTATTTTATTTTATTTTATTTTATTTTATTTCTACCCTATACGTAGACCAGTTAATATTAAATAATATTTTGCTTCTACAGGCTTAACCAACAGAAAAGGCTGTCTTGAGAAAGTCAGAGCTTTCTGTCCTTTCCTTGGTTATATGTGACACCTGTTGGAGGCAAAGGGAGGGCTTTACAGTGATATTGAGAGGTTTTATTTGGTCTGTTTCTGACTGTTGAACCCCTTACAATTGCAGACATGTGGACAATCAAGCAGGAGCAACATCCAGATCCATGTTTATTTGAAATACTGTGTTTATAACAAGGAATGACATCCTCACAATACGGTGTTGACTATCGTTGTTGTTCAGTAATGCGTCCTATGATATCTAGAAATCATAGGTTCTTAAAAAAAGTCAAAGCTCTTTGAATATTATTTACCCTCTATTTTTATTGCAATCACATTTGCCTGAGGTGACTATTACTTTGTGAAAATATTTCTTTGTGAAATTATTTCCATCTGTTTAGTAACTTCAAGTCTATGTGATGTTGTAAGTTCTAGCTAAAACACAACATTGGTTTGGTATTGTCAGGAATGTGAAATTATATATATATATATATATATAATTATATATATATATATACATATATAAAATTATACATATATATTTTAATTTATATGTATGTTATATATATATAACATACACCTACTCTTGAAAAAAGAATATTTTTCTTTTAGGTTGGCTAATGGGAACTAACAAGCTCAGGATATATTGGCAGTGCTGACAAGTCATATTAAATTTTAGCAGGCTAACCTCAGCCTGAGGTAGGTTTCAAAACTTGAAGATAAATAGCTTACTTTAAGCATAAATGAAGTTCAGTCTCCTTCATTGATATTTCAATGCATTGCATTCTCCAGCTTAAGATAGGAAAACATACCCGCACCTTTTCTTTTTGTACAGCCTGATCGTATTGATTCACCCGTCATAGTAAATCAGGGCATAGCACAGTTTAAGATGTAGTTTGTATTAGTGCAAGTCATTGCACAAATCTGTGATGTGTTGTTCAAATTTAATTCATATGTGAATTAATCCAGCAATTAGCAGCTTATATCTCCAGTTTGATGCAGTTTTAATAAACCTTAAAGATCCAACAAAACTACCAACTAATGTTGCTAAGTAAAGCTGATAGATCTCAGGCCATGCTTTGTTTCCTGGTGGGAGAATTGCACAGTTGCTACTTACCAGATGGGATAAAGACTTCATCACAAATTAGGGATAAGGTTTTTAGCTCAATTCTCTTTGTTATTATCTTTTTATCTCTTTGTTGTTTCTTTTTTTTTTTTTTTTTTTTTTAATCTCTTCATTATCTTATTGTCTCTTTGTTATTATTATATTGTTGTTGTTGTTATTGTTGTTGTGAGATAGCTTAACTCTACTTCCCTTCTAAATCCATGAGAATTTGTGCAACAGTAAAATTAGGTTTACTGGCTTAGTGCCTGTTAAATAAATAACATTCGACCTTGAAATTTTGAGTAAAGTAGTTACTTGTTTGTAACTTTTATGGTAAAGCTACTGGAATCTGGTTGTTAATATTGATTCCAATTTACCATGACATAGCTTGTTGCTGATCTGGGGTGAAGTAAATATGATGATTACCATTAGATTGAAGAGGAGTGGAGAGGAATCCATGTTTGATTCCACAGCTTAATCAAGCTACTCAGAATCTGGCCTTGAGTATCTCTAGGGACTAAGCGCCCACCACATCTTTGGGCAACCTGTTCCAGTGCCTTACCACTCTCACTGTAAAAGACAATTTTCATTATATCCAACCTACATCTACCCTCTTTAAGTTGGAAACCATTTCCCCTTGTCCTATCAGCACATGCCCTGCTAAAGAGTCTGTCTCCTTCTGTCTTGTTACTCCTCTTTAGATATTGAAAGCCACTATCCAGTCACCTTGGAGCCTTCTCTTCTCCAGGCTGAACGACTCCTCAGCCTGTAGGAGAGGTGTTCCATCCCCCTGTAGACACTCCCACAGATCTCTCCTGAACTGAGGACTCCACATCTGCACACAGTACTCCAGGTCAGGCCTTAACAGCATGGAGTAGAGGGGCAGGATCACTCCTTTGACCTGCTGGCCTTGCTTCTTTTGTTGCAGCTCAGGGAATGGTTGGCTTTCTGGCTTGTTTAGGCACACTGCTGTTTCATGTCCAACTTGCCATCCACCAGTGCCCCGAAGTCCCTTTTGGCAGGGCTGTGCTCTATCCTTTCTTCCCCCAGTTTGTATTGTTAATGGGTCTTGCCTCAAGCCAGGTGTAAGACCTTTCTTTTAACTTTTTTGAACTTCATGAGATTCTTATTGGCACACTGCTCAAGCCTGTCTAGGTCCCAAGCCAGAGGCATCCCATCCCTCTGGTCTGTTGACCACCACACATCTTGGTGTCATCCACAAAATTGCAGAGGATGCACTTGCCACCACTGTCAATATAATTGATGAAGACAAACAGCTGCAATGTTTCCAGCACTGACCCTTGGAGGACACCACTCGTCACTGATCTCGATCCAGACATGGAGCCATTGACCAACACTCTCTGGGCTTGATCCTGCAGGCAGTTCGTCATCCATTGGAAAGTTCACCCATCAAATCCATATCTTTCAAATTTGGAGAGAAGGATGTCATGGGGAGCTGTGTCAAAGGCCTTACTGAAGTTCAGATAGATGACATCAGTGGCTCTTCCTTTGTCCATTGATGCAGTGGCACCATCACAGGAGGCTACTAGATTGGTCAATCAGGATTCACACTTGGTGAAGCCGTATTGGTTCTCCCATATAACCTCCCTGTTTTCCATGTGCCTTAGCATAGCTTCTAGGAGAATGTGCTTCATGATCTTTCCCAGCAGAGGTGATGCTGACAGATCAGCAATACCCTGGGTCATCCTTTTTATCCTTCTTAAAAATAGATGTGATGGTATCCTTCTTTCCAGTCACCTGACCGCTGTGACTTTCTAAATATCACTGAGAGTGGAAATAGGTATCCTGATTTTCCAGTTTGTAGCTAAAAGGGGCTAGAGCAGTCAGGGTTGCCTAAACATGGCATTCCAAAGTACTTGATTGCACTTCAGGAAAGTTCGAACTAGTGATCCAACAGTAGTAATGCAATGTCATTAGATGACATTAAGAATGCCTGATGCATTCTGTACCAGGGCTTTAAATTCTTCAGGATTTAAGGATGCACGTGAACTCTTTTGATATATATTTTTATTTTCTGATGAAAAAAGAGCTAACTACATAGATTTGCTTTAGAATACCTAGATATTGTGTTCCTTATCTGCTATTAAGTAGAAAGTGCAATGTTTTATTATTTATTTTGCAAAGAGTTTCTTATGTGCCCTGGAGATGGGGTTAATGCCAATAAATGTGCTATGTTATAGGCAAGCAAAGTAAGCTAGCACTCAGCTAATCTCTCTCTGTATTACCAAGTCAGCCATAGATTTCTGTTTCAAATAAAGCATATAGAATATATCTGGATCTGTACTTTCTGAAAGTTTCGGTATTCTGACTATGTAATCTTATTCCCAGTGAAATGCAAGTACTACCAGAGAGTAGTTGTGCAACATTTATGTGGGTAAAGGAAAGATCTCAGGAGTCCCATTCTCGAAATTCTTGATACACATCATCTGATTTATAGTATGATCATGAGTGAGATATTTCTGAAATAGAGGTCTGCCCAGCTAAAGAAAAAAATCAGAGCCTAAACTAAAATTTTTATTGATCTGTTATTGAACACAGTAGAAGGATCTTGAGTATGCAGGAGGGACAGAAAGAGATTTCCTATTCAGAATATGAGCCCACAGGAGAACTGTCTTTATATGTGGAGGTAGGGGAAACTTTAAAACATACGGACAGTACAAAGTATTGAGTACAACGTTGTGTGTAGCATCATATTTTGAGATCTGCTTCAATCTGAGTCTTTGCCAGTGTTTCAATGAACAATACAGCACCATGTTTTAAAGTGTAAAACAAATTTTGCTTTAAAGAGCCAGGGAAGTGAATGTGTTGCTAATGAGAGAACTATGGACCTTAAGACAGTTAGCAAAAATGTATCTTATTTCCTGCCATACCTGTCAAGTTGCTCAAAGAAATGTCCGTCAGATGAAGAGTCAGTGTTTCTTTCCACTGTGCCCAACTACTCTTTATCTGTACATCTCATGCTTGGTTATGGTAATTTAAAAAGAAAAACAACAATTGTTGAATAAAATGGCTGAGTGATTTGGAAATTACACCGTCTCCACAAAAATCTCAGAATCTTAAAAAAAATACTCAGAAAAATCACTCTCAAAAGTCTGGTTTGTTAGTAACTGTTTGAGATGAAGAACTTTTACATCTGGGAACATTAAGCTATTGTCTCATGAATAGAACTGTTCAAGAGCCACATTTACGGCAGCAGGTGTCTTCTGTCCCTGTGGAGCACTGAGGATGTCTAGGTAGGATCCTGAGTGCAGCAGGTCTCAGTTGAAGGCTTGGCTATATATCCCATCTAATCCTAGAAATACTTCCTCATTAGCCAGTATTGCTTCTGGTTTATCCAGATGAGACATAAGCTTACTCACTTCCTTCCTTGCTAGCAGAAGTTGGAGGAAGAACAAGAAACCTTATATCTAGGCAGATGAAAAGGTTTAGATTATATAACCTCAGCAAATGCACCTCACTGCCTTGTGTAGGTAGAATATGAAAAGCAGCAATGGAAACGAACCCTATGCATTTCAAAGCTGCAGACTTGACTGAAATGATTGGTCGGAACTATGTAAAGGGAATTCTACTCACCTACATGAGGAACGGCATAAAGTTTGAAAGTTCCTCATGATGAATGACAAGAGGTGCATTAAGATGTTAGATCTTCGTACAGGATGTTTTGTATATGTATGTTGTTTTTAGGAGTTACCAAGACTTTTTATGTCATTTCTTCATAATGCAACTGTTACGCATACAAGATCAAAGGTTGTTTCTAGTCTATGAAGAGCTAATATACAGCAAGAATCATTGTGAAGAAAAAGGCAAAACTAGAGAGATTGTAAAGTATTTTTGGCTGAAAGGCCATTTTGTAAGTCATGAAAATCAAATCAGGTATGGTCAGCATCCACTGTACGTTTAACTATTCACAGCTATGTACTTGTGTCAGAGATGGAAACAGTCTTCAAATATTGGCAAGGTGCTGTTCTTCTAATTTTTATGTGAAAAATTATTGTTAAATCCCAGAAGATATAATAATAATAATACAGTAAAAGTAATTACTATTTTAATAATTGAATTTCATGTCCATATAAAATGGAAGTGTCACCTTGTCTTATCTTCTAAATAAGTACAGAACATTACCTCATGAAACTGAAGGTTTGCTCACCAGTATTTTATGTTAACTGTTCTACTTACTCATATTAAATGTTGAATGTCTGAAACATAGTGAAGACAATTGTCATTGATGCTCAGCAATCATAAAAAATTGGGTAAAATAAAGGAATTCTTCAGAACAAAAATACTGTTTTTAATACTTGCTCTTTTAGACGCAAGTGACATGCTCTTTCATTTCTAAACAAGGAATCATGCATGCTTTATTTTGCCTTGGGAATCTCTGCTATGTTTAATTTAAAGAAAGTAATTTTCTTAGAATTAATATGATTGACAGATAGCCAAGAAACTGTATATGGACCCCTCTGTCTGAGGAGAAAGGTAGTATGAAACAGGGGAAGACAGAAAATAAAGTAAAATAATTTGTAACTGTAAAATGTGTAATTTTGATGTTGCTCTGTCTGTTGCTATTTAATTTGCAAAATATGGGCAGTGTTAGTCGTAATCATAGAATAATCATAAGCATAGATTGCAAGGGACCTTAAAGATAATCTAGTTCAAATCCCCCTCATAGGGAATATTCCAGTACATAAAATTACTGTCATTCTTCGTGAAATGTTGCATATAAGTGTCACGATACAGGAAGAAATTATTACCATCCTAGTGGAGACAGCTCCTTGTTCTATATTTGCCCTGTTGATAGGGTTTTCATATAGTGTGTACATCTTCTAACATTTCACAGCCAAGTTTATCAGGTGGAGTTCAACAAAATATTAGGGTGATATGTTTTCCTGTCAAGTAGATACATCTCCATGAAAATTAAAGTGTTTCTCAGAGATGCCACAATTTTAATAAGTAATATCACTTGAAGTAGATCATACACTTTCCCTGAGAGTGCTAGAAACTTGGACAAGGGTGGTGTTGGTTTTTTTGCCTGATGTAGAGTGTTTTTGTAGATCAATTTGTTTTGGTCTCTTCCTTATGCAAATGCTTACGTATTTATTGAGAAAGAATCAGGAAGACTGATTTGACAAAACAACAGTCATGGCACTCAGCCGGGATGTAAGCAATCCAACCTCAAATCCATTCACTGAATTAAACAGAGAAGGGATGATCTGTTCCTTCAATATTAAGTACATCCTAATAATTGTGATATATAAAGCAGTATTTCAGCTACTGTGTTACACAGCAGTTCCTGTTACACTTTCCTATGAAAGGTTATAGCTAAATAACAAAACAATAAAGAATGGAATCATATCAAGTAATCTGAAATTCCAAGCAATTCCACGCTTTTTTTTTTTCCAAAACTTTTTTGAATAACATGATAATTCTGGTCTTCAAGCATTATTCACAAGTAGTTTGTTTTGAAAATTTCTAATCCTTTTTCATAAAAGTGAACAAGTTTTTTTCAAAACACATTAAGACGAGGAATGTACATCCATCTAATCAGTAACACTTGAGAATAAGGCTTACCTTTTTGCATACCATTTAGATCACACTCAGAGGAGATAATGATACATCTATATGCTTCTTGTTGCAGAAATTTCCTTGGGGGCTAATCAACCTCACGATAACCTCTCTTGCCCAATAAAGTCATTGTAGGCTAGATTTATTACGCAGCTCTCATTGTCTGACATTTATGTGTATAACCAGTCTCGTGACAATGAGTAGTGCATTGAACGCCTTAGAAATGAAGACAAACTTCATGGATATCGTTTCTGAAGAAGGCTCTTCTAGTCCCTAAGGACTGTTTTGTTTTTGTTATTTTCTTTCTAGTCTGTTTTGCAGTACTCTTATGTTATTATTATTTTACTGTTTTGAATGTTATATGGGATTTGCTTTCAGGGCTGCTGGATCCTGATCCAAGTGAATGGTACTGATGGTAATTTTATATTGACTATAGTAGACCTGTAATGAAGCACTAAGTAGTGGATCATCTTTTTTTCTGTTTTCTTCTATAATGTGGTATATACAAAAATCTAAAAGAGGAAATATGGAGGAAAAATGTGGAAGTAGATCACAGAAACAGAAGGCTGCAATATCATCTGCAAGCATTTACATATAGTACGTACATTTACAAATTGTGATGTAAAAGAGAAAGGAAAACTCATCTGCTTTAGAAGGCATCCATTTCCTTTCTCATGAATGGAAAGATTTTTGCTTTTCTTTTTTTCTCCTCTCCAAGACAGCTATTGGCTATAATGGGAAGTCTTTCATTTTACTTGGAGATTACTTCATCCTGAAGAAATTCACACTGCATTCATAGCGAAACTACAACCTGCTTTTGACAGGTGTTTCTCTCTTTAATGTTACATGAAGAAAAAAGTCAGACTCAGTCACCCCAGCATTGTTATATAAAGTTCTCAAATTCTTCTAAAGCAAGAAATAGGGTATCCCAAACATTCATTTTTCTCTTGTAATGGCTTAAGTTCTCCTTCAGATTTGGATGACAATCTTAGTCCTAACTAAGTAGAGAATAATAGCTCCTTTGTCCATTTCCGATTTTCCTTATCTAAATCCTAGGTGACTATCCTATCCTAGTCCTTACTGGGCAAAAATAAAGCCATTTTCTTGATAGAGGTGTATGATAAATAAGGTACACTGCCAACAGGTTCTTTTTTTCATATACAGAGAAGAAATGTCTGTCCTCTTCATGCCAAAATCCTCACTGTTCTTTCTCCTGGGAGATGTAACCTCTTGTGCAGGTGGAGCTCAGATCCTCTGCTTGATTCTGGCAAATGGGACTTTGACTTAATGATCCCTTGATGTGCATTCAGTAGAGTTGTTCTGGTTGTTGAGGAAATAGAAACTGAAAATAGTGACTGAGTGCATTCAGACAATTTAGAAACTTCCCTTCAGTGGCTGTTCTTCATCTGAGTGAATAGATACCTACATCTTTAGAAACTGGATTTTGAAGAAACTAAGCATTTTTTCCCATTCTTTTTCAAATTTATTTTACAAGACAGTTACTAAAACAATCTCAACACTTTATTTATCTTTTATGTGAGAGAATGGTGAGTAGAATTTTTATTCTGTTGTATATATAGTCTGCATGTGTGCTTCAAACCATTTTTTTTTTTTTAAATGAAGGCCGTTTTCATGCTAGAGCAGAAACTTTTGTAAGGAACAACACATATATTATTCTCTTGCTTGAAATCTTATTATTTATAATATGTGGTGTTTTGTTGTTTTGTTTTTTTTTTTCAGCGATCGGATATTTGAAATTGGAATTCTGGATATTTTTGGATTTGAAGAATTTCAAAGGAATACTTTTGAGCAGGTAAATAGCTTTGTTTTTTTGAATTCACTATAGCTGTCCATCATCCACAAAGATAAAGTTTCTTTTTTAGCCAAACAAATGTTTTGATCAGAAAATAAATTTCAAGAAGGAAAAAACCTGTTCATAATTTTTTTTTTTTTCTCTGTGTTCATGTATGGGTTTGAAGTAAAACCCAGGCTTTGTTGAGTTACAGCGTTATTCATAATTTTAAATAACCTGGTAAACATCTATCATAATGATTTGAAAGAGCGGTAGTATCAGCACTGAAAGACAACCTGAGGAGAGTAGTTAGTGCTGTCTATTTTCACGCTTGTGAAAGCGATCCTTCTGCTGGGTCAGCGAGTAGGAGGAAAATAGACTGGATTGAGATGAAGACCAAAAAGTCTTCAGATGCCTCAGATAAAAAAGAAAAGAATGACAATGCTTCATTCTTTGAAGTGCTGTTACTGGCAGATGCATCTCTTTGTGACTTTTCAAAATAAGACTTTAAAAGTTGAATTACATCCATGGAAAATAAATTAAACTTTAGCTGAATGAATACCTGAAAATCCTTTAAGTATGAAATATCTTTTTGAAAACTGGATCCTCCTTGCCTTTAACGCTACTCTCTGATCAACAAAGCTCTTGTCGAGTGCATATTCCAGAGGACATTAGCAACTGTACACTGCATGCTGTAAGAGATGTGTAAGTTTTTGTTGTTCATTCAGTTACACAGCAGAAGAAAATCAGAGCAGTAGAAAGAAGAAAACAAAGGACCTCTTATTGTTTGAAATTAGAATTTGCCCCTTTGTTTCAGTTAATCCATTGTTTTATGGCTCAACTTTCTCATGATATGGGTGTCATCGTGCCATATCAGTTCAGTATGTCTAGCATATTTACATGGATGTAGTTTCCAAAAATCTGAAAACACAAAAAGGTGAGTTTACCTTTGTCTTCAAAGTAACATTTAAGAATACAATAACATATTTCCAGTTCCCCTCTCGCAAAACTTTTTTTGCTGTTACAGTTCTGCCTAGCTTGAAAGCTTTGCTGGCCTAAAGATGATTGCCAATATCCATAGCCATATCCATTCAGTGAGAATATCTTATTTGGGGGCAAATATAAAATGAAAAATAGAAAACATCTTGATAGACTGAGGATATGTCCACTCAAAACTAATCCCATAATCTCAGCAGTTGGACTTGATAATCTCTGGAGGTCCTTTCCAACCCCTACGATTCTGTGATTCTGTGATAAAACCTAATGATTAACAAGGATAAAATATTCCAGACATTCTAGAATTTCAGAAGAGAGTAGTGCATCTTGAGACTTACTGACTTTTTGTTTTTCTTTTCACTGACTCTTTTCTGCATTGTTTTCTGTCATGAAATACATGCAACTTCTGTGACTGATATCACAAAAAATACCATGAATTCTTTCAAAAATAAATCATTTTCTGCTTAGCAACTGCAGATGTTGCTTAACATGAGCCCAACAGGAAAATGAGTAAAAGTAGTTTTCGTATTTCTACATGGTGAACGTGGTAATTTCAAAGTCAACTGTGAATTGTTATTGTATTTTGTTAGTAAACAAGTATGTATCAGGAGACACTGACTGTCCCCCCAATTGGACTGAGTGGGTTTTATTGAGTAATACTGAGTAACAGTATGGGTCATTAAATCAGAAACTAGTGAATTGCATTCCTTAAAAGACAGAATGGTGGTGAGGGAATTACAAAGTTCATTTTCATATCAACTCTGTAGTGTGGTTAACACATCAGATTCCTGAAGCGATAGGTTGCAGTATCAGCAACCTATCAGCAAACGGAAGCAGATTGTATCTCCACATGGCGCAATGTAATCACGCGGACACACATACTGCAAACTGCCTGCACTCAGGAGCTGTGCAGCAGTCTAGCCTCGCTCAGTATCCTGCCTGGACTAGTTAACTCTGTTGATAAACAGGCTTGCAGCCCAGATATGGTCCTCATGCAAAGCACTGCATCATGTCTGCAAACACGTCCAGTGTCAAGGCCTGTGATTGCAGAACGTTAACAGTAAAATGGGAGTAGCAGCTGAACAGAGTAGGAGCTGTAAAAATTATTTTTTCATTACATTTAGATTAACATATTTTAAAATGGCACTGCAAAAGTAATTTGGCAGAAATTCTTTCGTTTCAAATTAGTGTAAGACAAGGCATTCTGTTCGTCCGCTTTCATGAAAATAGTCATAATATTTTTTTAAGAAGGAATAAAAACCCGTGATTGCTGCAATCTGGGGATGTTCCAAGATGTGTGAATCTTTCTGGTGACTCAATTCAGGTCAGTTGGTAGACATGCTAATAGAACATTTAAAATAAGCCAACGAAGAGCTAAGAGGATGACGAAGGGACTGGAGCACCTCTCCTGTGAGAGGTGAGAGAGCTGGGACTGCTCAGCCTGGTGAGGGCTCAGGAAGATCTCAGCAAAATATACAAATACCTAAAGGGAGAGTGCAAAGAGGTTGGAGCTAGGCTTTCCTCAGTGCTGCCCAATGCCAAGACAAAAGGCCATGTGCGCAGGAGGCTCCCTCTGAAACCCAGGAAGCTCTTATGAGCTGATGAGGTCTTCTCCTTGGACACACTGAAAACCATCTGGACATGGTCCTGGACAACCTGTTCTAGGTAACTCTTGTTGAGCAGAAAGACTGAACCAGATCATCTTCAAAGGTTCCTTCCAGCTTACACCATTCTTTCTTTGATTCTCTGGTCAGATATGTTGCAGTCATTTCAGGAAACAGCAATGTCAGTTTTCGGTGGTTTTTTAGGACCCTTATTTGAGAGCAACTGCTTTTTTTTTTCTGTTTAATTTGCACTTCTTTAGAAGTAGAAAATGTCTTCTGCTCTTCTGATAATGTTTAAAGCTAGATTAGATCTTATCCATAGTCCTTCACAGCACAACTCCAAATAATCAGATAAGGAATGCTGCTGTGTTCTTTATACCATTATGGCACTGTGTTCTCTGACTGCAAGAGAATACAAATGAACTCATGGCAAATGAATATAAGCCGTAAGCAGGAGAGAAGGTGGATGAAGTTGTCCGCATCATTTTCCCCTAATTCTTTCTATGTTTATTATATCAGAAGGACCAGATGGTAAAGTAGAAAGAGTAGCACATCTTTCTCACATGTAAACTCAGAGTAATCAAGATCTGTAATTGTGGAAGATTATAAAAAAACAATAATGCAGTTAAGTAAAATAGGCTCTAATAGAGTATTTCCTCTCTGTTGTCCAAATCAAGTGATAAACTGAAAAAATATTTAGCTTTTGCTAAGTAATGTATTTAGCTCTTGAACGGTCTTTTTCATCTGTAGACCTCTTATGAATTGCGGAAAAACCTGTAACCTCTTTTTTACAGGAAATGTAAGTGATTTACCTGAGTCAGGACTGAGACAGTCAAGTGTCTCTTGACTTTCATTCAACTCTATGCCTATTAAAGTGTGTTCAGTAGTAGAGAAGTGTGTCTCATGTGGCAGCTCAGTGCTGTATTCATTTTACCGTAGTGGTCAGCTGGCTCCTAGAGCACAGTGCGTTGCCTGCTCCACTCAAGACTTCACCACTTCAGAGTCACTACAGTGAGGCAAAAAAGCTTCTACAGTCCAGCTGTGTTCACATGAATTTTGGCCTGCGTTTATTACTAGGTTTAGAAAGTCTTTTAAATAATTACTTAACTTTGCTGAGACTTCATTTGATTTTGTCATGTCACCTTCTCTAGCCAAATCAGTCATAATGAAATAATTTTTAAAATAAATTACTTTTCCTCATCCATAAGCCTTTTTCTAGCTATCTAAATATAAGTTCATGTTGCCTATTACAGAGATAGGTAGACATGAATAGGTAAAAGTTACATAAATTAACATTCCTATGGTCATTACAGTCTCAGTGATAGCAGATGGGAGGTCAGTACGCAAGTGTCTGCATTGAGGCAATCTGAAACACAATTCAATATCTAATTTTATACAGAAAAATAAATCTTATTTGGTGTTAGCTCTCCTGAGGAATAAAATTGTGGTCCAGCTAGCCTTCATGCGCAGGAAGGCTTTATTATCCCTGCCAGAAAACAGCAAGAGCCAGCTGCCCTGTCCAGTGAACCTGTCATGCCCATCATAATGGTCACTGTCATGCATGGTCTGATCATGGTGGGCAGAGCCAGGATCAGTAACTGGGACCATCATGAGCAGTGAGGCAGCAAGCAGCAAGTCAGGGCTCGGGTCCCATCAGGAGCAGTTAAAGACATGTCTGGAAACTGGCACTGCCATGGGGCCTCTAGGACAGATACAGGACACAGACATGGGGAGGGGCCCAGAGGAAACTGAGCAGGACCATAAGAATTAGTGCCCTCAGGGGCCTTACAACCCTGTGCTATAATTTATTCCCCGACCCAGTTTCTGACAGTCTTTCACTCCTTGTGGCTTTTGTCATGTTGTAGTCTTGTTCCCCGTCAGTCTCTTTGTACTTTTTTCATTCTACTCACATTTGTTTCATTTGGGCAGGATGCTTATCTGCCCAGTGCCACAGAAAGCCACTGGAAAATCAGTGTTAGTCTTTTTTAAAGTTGGCTACCTCAGTATGCTCACTGACTTGTACCTGACATTAAAATGCTCCTTTTTATTATTATTATTATTATGTTTTCTTTTTTCTTTTACAGTAGAAACGGTGAGGCTGAAAATAAAATCCTTTATCTATAAATTTAGACTCCCAGACAGGGAGATAGGGGAAATGCTGCCCAAGGTCTTTTCTTAACTGGCTTCTTGCTTTTTCACAGCAGCACCCCATTGATCCCATTACAGCAGTATTCATGACCAGCAGTAGGAGGGAAAAAGTGGTGTGGATGTCTAAGTCCAGATTCCTTCAAATAAAGAACTGTTATTATCTTATTAGTTCCTTGCTTGTTTAATATTCTTGTGTGTTCGTAATCAGGTGGATGTATATTCCAGTTTGTACTGAAATTTTATCCTTTACGGAAGAGCTTTACAGACTCTTTCTTGTGGAAGGACTTTCAGGTAGCAAATATACATAACAAAATTTTAATATATGAGGGTTGCTCTGAATGTAATGTTCTCTATTTTATTATGTTGGCCCACAATGTCAGGGACAGATGTTGGTGGTATGGCAGTAGAGGCAGAGCCTTCCCACCAATATTCCATTACATGTTGTTGCCGTGTGAAAGATGGCAGCAGAGGGGCGATCTGACAGTGGTGTCTGACATGGAAGTGAAGGTGGAGCAAAGGTGTGCTGCTGAATTCCTCCATGTGGGAAGAATGGCATCCACTGTCATTCACTGATGCTTGCTGAACGTTTCTGGAGACCAAACAATGGATGTGAGTACAGTGAGGTGGTGGGCAGTGTGCTTCAGCAATGGTGACAGCAATGGTGGGTCATCTCCACTGGTGCAGTTTTTTGTGACTGTGGCATACAGGCTCTTGTTTGTTGCTGGTGAAAATGCATAGCTAATGGTAGTGAAAATGTTGAAAAAGAGTGATTTTTCGCTGATAATCTGCTTTATCAAACAATGTTATTGTGCTCTTTATATCTGTTGCAGTTTCTCTGGAAATTAATAGAAGGCATTACTTTCAGGCTGAACTTTGTAGCACTGTCATAGAATCATAGAATGGCTTGGGTTGGAAGGGACGTCGAGGATCATCAAGTTCCAAACCCCTGCCACATGCGGGGCCACCAACCTCTGTATCTGATACTAGACCAGGCTGCCCAAGATAACATAAATTCTCTGTGAAATCAAGTTCTTCTGATAGAGTCAGAAGCACTATGAGTTTGTGCTGATTCTGCATGGAACACAAGAATTCTGTATTAGGTTCTAAAAAACAAAGGAAGAAAAGTGATAATTTCTAGTGTTATACATTCATTAAAATTATTCTAATTGGTACTCTGCATAAAAGCTGTGGAAATCCAGAAACTGTTGCACAAAGTAGTAAAAGACAAAAGAGATGCGTGTATATATATGTATCTATATATGTTTTTTTTCTCTTAAAGTAGTAGATACAAGAGGGAATAGTAACCAATATACTTCTGAGAAATGAGTGATTGCCTACCTTTAGGCAATCTAAAAATATTTTCTGTATCTGTTCTTAGTAAACAGAAGTTGAGAAGTTGATTCAGCCTTCCATTATCTCAGAATCATGTTTTTGTGAAAAGCTGGAGCACGTCTTTACAAATTAAACTTGCTGTCATAATTCCATTGTCTTGGCCAAAAAAATACATTCTGGTGGATGAGTTGATATGACAGGGGTAAGCTTTACTCAGTGCTCTTAATATACATCCCTTGAGTGAGCTAATCCTTCTGCACAAGGAAGGATGTAAGCAAGCTTTGTAGGAGATGTTTACATCCATTGGTCCCCCACTGGTTTCTCCATTTTTTTTCTTTTTTTTGCTATGCTTTTTCAGATGTTATTTTCTATACAGTGAGAAGCAAGGAAACAAAAACAAAAGCAAACAAACAAAAAAAACTCCAAAACATTAATGATAGTTGCTTTTCAGACTTTGGAGCACAGTATAATTTTCTACCTTAATTTTAGTTTTGAGTATGCTGCCAAATGCGGTAAAGGAAGAGAGGTTAAGTTAATGTAGTGAAAGTCTACCAGTTTTACCAGATGGCACTCCATTTTTTTTTCCCAAATACTGCAATTTGCATGCTACTTCAAGTTCAGTTTAAAGACTTGAACTTGACCTTTTTGCTTTTTTTTGTTTTCTTTCAATATCTTAGAGGTACCTTTTAATGAAGACTCTGACACATATATTGTGTGGGTTTTTTTCCCACCTACACATGACAGTGAGTTAGGATTAGAAAGGAAAGTGGAACAGAAGGTTTCTAGTGAAGAAACATACAATGGAGACAATTAAAAGCATGCAAAGCGTAGTATAAGCATATTTAATGACAAGAAGCATCATTGGTAATGCTGAGTAACTCCATAACGTTAAGTAAGTGTACAGTGCTTAGAGGTACTCCCACAACATTTATTTTGGGAAAAAAATCATTACTGCTACATTTCCATCTAGTTTGCATGGGTGACATTAAGTACATGTGCTTTTCTCAATTTTTCTTTGGACAGGAAACATGTCATTATTTTATAAACCTCATGTGACAGACCAAAAGAAGATGAGTTAGCAAAGGTAGCTGTGTTCATTTTCATCAAATTTCTACATTTCATCTGCTTTAACTGTTACAGCAACTTGTTTCAAGCATTTAATTTAGAACCTGCAGTTTATCACCTTTTTTCCTGTGGGATGTATAAAACATTGAAATGGGGAATTATATGGTGAGAGTGTTTTGCTTTTCAGCAGCCGTTGGCTGCACTCCTGGTGCTCATTCTGCAGAGCTGCTGCTCACAACCACTGCTAGATAGAACAGTGAGTTTATAAGTTTATGGGGATTTTGTCAGCTTCTCTTATGGTAAAATTAATTAATGGAATAATTAAATTGCTCTCTAAAGATCTCATTTGTAAATATACATGGCAAGTGTCATGTCAATGCTTTACATGTCCTGTGAAGTATAAGCTTGTAATGTTATACATGTTTTCTAAAGTAATGCTAAGAGTCTTCTGAAGAGATTTTGGAACTAGAATTTGAATTTGGGAAGCAAGCGGCAAAGCATATGTTTGCCTGACACAAAATTTAAAAAGCTTTCTCCTTCCATTAAATAATTGAATAATATAAATCAATTTTATACTTTCAGAGTTAACAAAATAAGACAAAAATCCTGCTTTTAAAAAACAGTGTTATTATTTGAAGCTGTCTTTTGTCTTCACTTTCATGCATTGGTAAAGACAATTAGTAACAGACATTTGGTTACGAAATGTGTTTCTTGTTCTATTTCTTCTTATAGTTACTGACAGTGGCCTACTTCATTGTAGAACAAATGCAAGGTGGCTATTCTAGCATGAGGAGCTGATGGAAAACTCAGGCAGCTATAATTCTTTTCTCATTGTCTTTCCCTTACCTGTTTTTTTTTAAGCCTGTATATTTATGCTTGATCTAAATGTTTCATATTTTTAACATGTCTTGCTGGTGGAATTAATTTTTTACAATTTGTTCATGGAAGGTCTAGCTTATGGCCAAAACAAATATGTGACTGGTTTAATGTTAAAAGAGACTTTGTGCAGACGTTCCTTCCATCATTCCTCATACAAAGTGTCTTCCAACCCTCTGAGTTTCTGTTTTCTTAATTTCGTAGTGATAGTTAATACACCATTGGAGGAGATTTTAGAATTTCCCACTAGAATTTCCATTTTAATATAAATAAAATAGTTTAAGATTTATTCAACAAAGTTATTAAACTTTGAAGATTATGAACTTCGAATAAAGTACAGAAGGTTCCAGAATAAGCTGATTGAAGCCTCACCTATTGGTAAATGGAAACAATTTGAACTATTTATTTTAGAAAAGTGTCACTAAAGTCTTAAAAGGCAATCAAAGTAAATATTTGAGAGTTTTTTATATTATTTATCTTCACAGACTTTGAACTTTTCTATTGAAGACTGTCTTCTTGCCAACTTTCCCTTAGAATATCAATAAAATGGAGGGAGTCATCTAGTAAAATTTTGCTAGGTGTTTTATATGGTCTATTTGAACAAAACCCAGTGAGTTCTGGTGCTCTTCTATGTGGAAGCAGGGTTTGAACATATTTGCTAATACTAAAATAATTACATAATCGGGATCTTAAGCAAATGTGTAATTTTTTTTATTTATTTATTTATTTTTCAAAAAGCACATTGCATCTGCATAGTCTCCCTGAATATATACAGCAGAGGAACATTGAGCATAACAGTTTATACTTAGAGTTGCTCTACTTCAATCAATGGAATTAGAATAAATTTGCACTGTTTGTTAGGGGTGGTATTTGATGATTCTTATGAGGAATTCGCAGTGATCTATGCAGACAGAAAACTGTTTATTCCCAGTATAATACTAATAGCTGTTAAAATGTAAATTTCCCTAGGGTCTTCCTAATCTGTGGTCTACAGAGAGATAATATGTTGTGAAATGATGTTTCATCAAATTTAATATTAGATGTACAGTAAACCCTACACCAATTAATTATCCAGTAGACTTCTAATCTTTATGTTTTCTTTGTTTTGCAATAGCTGTGCATCAATATGACCAATGAGAAGATACATCAGTATATCAATGAAGTGCTTTTCCTACAAGAGCAAACAGAATGTGTACAAGAAGGAGTTACCATAGAAACTGTGTACTCTCCAGGAAACCATACTGCAGCCTTGGATTTTTTCTTTCAGGTAGTCTTCAGATTCACTTTATATCATTTGTATTTATATACATACTCCACAACACAGATTAATACAACGCTTTGCTGTATTTTCTGGTTTATTGAGAAAGTCTGTGGTCATTATATCTGCTCTTAAAACTTGAGGGCTAACAGCTTTGTAACAATCTAGGGTTGAAGAAGACGTAACAGAAAGTCGTTGCCCACATGGATTCACTTGTAGTATCTGCGTATCCTGCTGTATTCTGGATGCAGCTATAGTACTGACCAGTCTCTGCTGTGACTTCAGCAGTTTTCTTTGTGCCTGGAGCTACTTTTTGGTGTAAAATTTCTAACAAGAACATAGCCCGATCAGTTTCCTAAAAGATCAGCAATGATTATCATTTTTGACAAATGAAATATTATTCCCTGAGTTTATTGCAGAGTTATCTTTTGGAGACTTAACAGAATATTTATATTGTTGGGTTTTTTTTCCTTTCCTTTCCATAAGATGATGTGTTACATGTGTATCCTGCTAAATTACAAGCTGTTTTATTTCACAAGCAACGAATTCTGCTGCATAAAAACAGAAAAGTCTATTTTTCATTTCAGAAACCGTCAGGCTTTTTGTCAATGCTAGATGAAGAAAGCCAATCTAATTGGTCAGTGGAACAGAGTCTTTCTAAACGGATTCAGTCTTACCTGGATACATCAGACACAAATACAGTGTATTCCTCCACAAAAGATGGAAATGGCAACCTTGCACCAAAGGAACAGGGCTCTACCTTCACTGTTATGCATTATGCTGGCCGGGTAAGTTCTTTGAGTGATTGGTTACACACAGTTTGTGAAAAAGAGTAAATTCTGCAAGGGCTGTCCAACATCTGGTTGTAAATAACAATTCACTTTTTAATGATAAATTTTCAGGCTACAGCTTAGTATCAATGCAATACGTGTATAGAATCAGTAAACACCCCTATGGTGTTTTCTAGTAGTGTTACAGAATGGGTATGTGTTGAGCAGGCCTGTTTTTAGCAGAATTGTGTCTACATAACTCCAACTCCTAAATTGTGTCTTCACTGCTTCATTAGGAAGAGGGGAAATTGCAGTATCTTGCATAAATGTTTAATCCTCTTTTAGTTGGTTTTTACTTTGCTTTCCGAAGTTATTTCAGAGCAGTAAATGTTCTTTGCAGATCCTGTGCTGTATTTATAGGTACCATGGATACCAGTATGAATCTGGTTCAAGAAAAAAATGCATATTTTGTTGCTAATCTAACTAAAATATCTTTTTTTCTCTCTCTTTTTTCCATTGAAATCTCAGAACATTGCTATGTCTCTCAATCTGTCTGTGAAACAAGATGAATGTTTGTCACTGTTGATGGCAAAAGCACAATCAGTTTTGTTAGATAGGCCTCTTACCCTTTTCTTTCCAATACTTTCCCATTTTCACATTCCCTCCACAATGACCTGTGGCCATAATCAAGTGAAATAGTTATACATTTAATTTTTTTTTATAATCTGACAGGTCGCTCCTGCTATACTTAATATGATGTGCTGCCACTTCTCTCTGTTCTAGGCATAGTATTTGAAATAAGCTAACAAAATAGTAGAGGCATAATAAATTGGAGTTCTCTGCTACCTCTTTTAAAAAATTTCCAATTAAGTCAGGTGAGAATATAAATTGAAAGTTGCAGGAATCAGTCCTTACATTTGAACAAACATCTGAAACAAGCACTGTGTTCTTTCATACTCTCCAAGTCTTAAGCAGTGATTCCATGAGCTGTCTCTTCACTGATGGAATCCTGTACAAGCTTTGTGCCTGTCAAATTGAGAATCTGTGTTCAGCTGATATGTGTAGGATCTACAATATTGTGATCACATGCACTGTGTTGTTCATAAATATGAATGTACTTGCTATTGGTTGATGACTTTGCATATTAGGTGACTTTAAAAACCCAAGAACTCAGGAAAGCCTGCAGAATCTGGCTTTTTCATGACAGAGTAGTGCTATGTGACCTCTTAAGTAATCGCTTCAGAAGCCACATGGACACTGCAGGTACTTCAGCTCAACCAAACAACTGACACCTGGGTGCTCCTCTCTTTACCTAAGCAAGAGACAGAAGAATTGAGTTCAGTGAGCAAGAAACAGGGCAATTATAATAAAGTCTTTTGATTGGAATACATATTACAATGCTAAAACCAAGTGTTACAGCTTTTCTGCTCCTTTCTCTGAAAGGTAATTAGAGCAACCTTACCTTCATGTGATTGTCCATGTAGCAAATGCTGGGAGTTTTTCCAGTATGCTGCTAAAATATCAGTTTGGATTCAGAAGTGAGCTCTTGCGAGGATAAGAACAAAAGAAAAATAGCTCTCATCTGTGGTGCTAAAGGTTGATAACACTTTCTGCTATGACAAATAGTTAGGTGGAACAGATTTATGCTACTGACTATTGGCAGTGGGTACTCTTTGGGAGATAAGTTCAAGACTTGCCTCCAAAATAAGACTTGCTGGCTCTGTCATATCTCTAGGAAACATTATGTCCCCTGAGCTGTCCAGAGAGATGAGAAATAGGGCTGTACATGCTTGGCTTCTTTGACCAGATTTGTCTTTTGCAGCAATATATTGAAATATATATGGAAAGGTCTATTTTGTGGCTCTCACTTGGCAGCAGTGATGTTCTGACGCAGGCAAATTTGTTCCTGGCCAATGATAGAACTATGGTCATTATGGAAAGGATAAAGAGTATTTGGGCAGTACTTAAATTCTTAACCTAAATAGTCTGAATATCTCCCTGGTGGCTCTACTTTCATCATGAGGCCTTCTACTTAGGCCCAAATTATTTGCCAAAGGTAAATGATTTGAATACCTCTGCTACTGAGACAGAGTTAGATAACAGTGCAATGAATGTTTTGTGACATTTATTAGCGCTTAAGGTGATAGAGTGAAGAGCTAACAAACGGCACTAGATGTCTAAATTTCTTTGTAATTGTGTTCTGTAGTTCTTAGGTAAATATATTTTCTTATAGTTGTGTTGTGATTATCCAAATTTGTCAAGGCAGTTCTAAAAAGCTTCCATGCACCAGAGAACTGATAAGAAAGCAGCAGCAAGGCATCCGTATTAATATCACAGTCACAGCAATAAGCACATTTCTTGAAAATGAAAGTTTTCTTACTTTGGAAAGAAGGACTGGGTAGGAACATTTATTAATGTTGAAGTTTCAGGTGTCAGGTTCTGAAACTTAAACTGTGAGTGGTCCGGAGTACACTTTTCATTAATGTGTGTTTTATCCTTGCATGGTTGTTTACATTTTTTTCTTTTGTTACATAGACTCTTGGTTTGACCTTTTCTAATAATAGTAATAACATTTAATCTAAAATTATGAATAAATAGATGGCTTTTCAAGTAATATAAATTCACACATTCTTTTGAAGTCAGTGGAGATCCTTCAGTTTACATTAGCCTAGGAGCTATGCCAGACTGTCAGGTTGTACTTTGCAACCGTATGGCATTAAAATGTTCATGTCACTGCCAAAAGAGAAGAGTTCCTGTGCAAGCGCTTAACAGCCCCTACTTTAACAGTGACTGAGCAATTCCAAAACTGTCTTTAAAGACAGTTGTACTTTTCCTATGTCATGGAACTCTTATTGAGCTATCACTGGTTGCAATTTCCCTGGATTTATGATAGGAATTTACGTAAAATCTTATGATAGCACTGTTCAACTAAATGATTCCTTACATGTATTTTTTTTTTAATCAATGGCTACATCTTGCTCAGTTGAATTTTAAGAAACCAAGTATTTAAAACTACTGATGCTGTTCTTGAGATTGCGCTATTACTATGTGTTGTACGTATTTTATATGTTATCTGTGATTTATGTTTAAAAGAATTTGTTAAAAGATCAGACTTTAAATACATCAAGTTTTATTGGCATTCAAAAATAAGAATTTCATATATGAAGTGACAGTATAATTTGACATGTTTTGGTACTCATTTTTTGTAGTCTGATAGCAATTAAATGAGTTTAAACAAGTTTGGTATGGAACAGTTTTCCTCTGTATTGTTACCTTCAGAAATCCCCAAATTCACAACAGGGAGGATTTTATTTTCACTTATAGCAATTTTTTCTCTGATTGTAACACCATTAACTTGGTAAAGCTTTTCAATATTTACATGAGTATAGCTGAAAGATGAACCAGACACAGAGGGTAGAAGAAGATTTACCAGTAAAATGTGGCAGGTAGTCAAAATTCTTCATTTCTAGTCTCAATCATTTGTATTCAAGCAGTGGCTCTGTGTTACTGTTTGTGGAAGTAACACTGAATGTAGGCTTTATGTCTAACAGAAGGTGAGGGCAGACAGCCTGATTTCCCCTAGGTAACAAAACTTTTAACTGCTTTGTAGTTCACAGTCAATGTGAAACTGTGACATCTGCAGCAAAAAAAAAGTTAATGTTCCAAGATGGATCTGGTATAGGCTCCTTTTCAACAGGTTATGTATGTAGCTATATCTCCAAAAAGAACTGGATTCTGATGTATTAACACAGGTAGCTACCATTACAGTAGCTATTTAAGCAGCTCACATGTGCAGTTATATTGGAAAAAGCAGCTATTAAAAGTGCTGCCTTACTGAAGTGACCTGCCATTTGATATTTAATTGAGATGGCAGTCTTTCGTGAACAATACCAGTATCTCTAGCCTTATATTACGAGGAAGTTATAACTGATGCAAAAGTGTCTGTGCAATCTTGAAGACAACTGACATGTTGATACATCAGTATTTTATCTTAGGATAGTCATAGGAAAGTTCTCTTTGTTTTCCACTATCACGTATTTTTGATTGATTATTTTTATGCATTGTGAAGTATCGCCTGTTCCCTTATGCTTTATGCTCAGTAGCCTTCCCAAGGGCTGCACATCCCATACTATTGTTCCAAGCCTAATTAGCCTTATATTATTTCAGAACAGGCAGTACTAAGAGAAGTAGAGATAATGGTCAGGAAAGACCCAGAATCAAATTGAATCCAGGAAGGAGTATGGGGAAGAAGCTCTGAGTAATATGTAAGGGATAACAACACGAAATTTGGAATCCATGCTTGATTTTCTAGACAAACAGTGCTTAAAGAAAATCTCTATGTATGATACCTTTCAGAGAGCCCTTAGTTGTTTTTTTTTTCATATACTCTTGACTGCTTTGGAATGGAAAAAGTGGGATAGAAAAGGAAAACAACATGCACAAGTAAGCTTCTGCACACAGAAGAGATCAGTGAGTAAGATTTTTCAGTGAAAGGCCAAGAGAGAATACTATATTACACAAATGTGACAGAACCATCCTGTGGAAGGAAGCAAATAAATCTTTCTTCGTTTCTCTTGAATTTTATTCTTATGCCTGCACAACACTGTATCTGCCTTTATCTGCAGGAGCACTATGATACAGTAGTTAACTCCACGATGACATGCTTAGCAAAGGCTACTGAGAATAATAGCACTTGATAATATCAAGTATTTTACTTTATCTCCTAGTTTTAATTTTGCAGCTGAACAGAATCCTACAATGCCTTGATATATTGCAAGTCTCTTCTAAGAGCCCTTTAATGTCTTGGTATCCAAGTGCTCTAAGACAAATGCTTATCTGTTCAGTTCAGGCAGAAGGTAGAAAAGAATGATTTAGGTTTTGTAAGACTAAAAATTCTCGTGGAAGCCTTTATCTGAAAGTTGTTTTACATATTGCCCTGAACACCAGCAGTCTGATCTCTTCTGGAAAAAAATCTGCTTGTAGAGGTTATTGCTTTGTTTCTACTGCCTGGTGTAAAC